TTTATTGCAGCAAAGTTACCCCCAGAATATTCAAATGTATCCAATCTCTTGTCCTTGGTTGCTTTATTTCTTAAATCTGTGGTCTGTTTATAGAGATTATGTATGCTCTTTTGTTTTGGTGGTGGATGGTAAAACAAAAGGCCATGAAGAACAGTTTCTGGTCATGCCTGTTGGCTTGATCAAGTGGTATTGGATACCCCCATCCACAGCCCCCTGTGCTGTTTTCTTAACCTTCAAAGTTTCTGAATTTAGACATGGAACTCTGAGTGTGCCGTATACTCCAGGATGTGCCTTGCTTAACTTTCCCTCCCCCGCGCAAAAGTGATTAGAATGAAATATGGTGTTTCACATGTGGTCTTAAAGCAAATGAGTCCATTCAATTGAGCTAGACAGATTTTTTTCTGAAACATCCAATACTTTTATTTATACTTCCTCGACTGGGGAGAAAACTAAGAAAACAAAAAAAAAAAAACAAACAACCCCCCCCCCCCAAAAAACAGCAGATTCAGCAGATCTTATCTCACTATTTTCTCCCTTCTGTTTTCATATGCACTTCTATTTTCATGCAATATTTCATTTTTTTCATGCATCTATCACTGTTTGCTTCTGTCAGAAGTTCAAAGGCAGCCTGCTTTCATAAAGAAGAGACAGTATTGATTGATCTGTAATATTGTTTCTACCTTTCTTGACCAATCCTCAATGCATATTTCCAGTTTTGAAAAGCATTTCATGAATTGCTGGGCAGTTGGAAAAATCTATAGTGTAAGCTCATTACTTTGCTGGCTGCTGAATGTTTTGTACCAGTTGTGTTTGCAATGCAAAAAATGCAGCCCTTTCTCTCAGGAAAAAGAGGTTAAAATTTCATGTATACATAAATAATAAAACAACACATGGAGGTGGTATCAGTGTGATATATTTCATTTCCTATATACCTTTGACCTCCCCTCTGCCCATTAATTCACACAAACTTTCATCATCTTCCAACCTCCTTAGTAGCATCTTTGGTTTCATTTTTCTCTTCAAAAAATGCTTACTTCTCCCCGTGAAGAGTGACATTCCCAGCCATCCTCCCAAATATCACTGGCTAGAGGTCCAGGACAAGCAATATTCTTTTCTATGCTAGTGATTGTGGTTTAAGCTAATACCTCATTGTCGTGGTTTAAGCCCAGGCCGTAAATCAGAACCACGCAATCTACTCCTCCCCCTGCCCTTTTTCCCCCACACTCCCAGAGGGATGGGAAGGAGAAGCGAAAAGAATGTAACTCCCACTGGTTGAGATAAGAACAGTCCAGTAACTAAGGTATAACACAAACCACTACTGCTACCACTAATAATAATAATGATAAAGGAAATAACAAGGGAAGAGAATACAACACCTCACCACCTGCAGACCTATACCTCACCCCATCCAGCAGTGACCTAGCCCTTTTGGGTAACTGCTCCCAGTTTGTATACAGGGCATGACATGCTCTGATATGGAATACCTCTTTGGCTAGTTTGGGTCAGGTGTCCTGTCTCTGCTTCCTCCCGGCTTCCCCTCCTCCCTGGCAGAGCATGAGCCTCACAAAGTCCTTGGTCAGGGTAAACATCACTTAGCAACAACTGAAAACATCAGTGTTATCAGCACTGTTCCCAGGCTGAAAGTCAAAACACAGCGCTGCACCAGCTACCAAGAAGGAGAAAAATGACTGCTACTGCTGAACCCAGGACACTCATGAGGCTGCAGAACTAGAACTGGGAACTTTCTACTTGCTTGTGAGCTCCTTGCACCAGCAAAAAGAATTAAAAGATGTATAGGAGTTAATTTTGGTGGGCCCAGGATTTTACTCTTGAGGAGACAGATCCAAGGCTTCACAGACCACAGAGCATAATGGAAATGATAAAACAATGCAACTTTAACAGGAATCACTTTTAGACTAATTTTATAGTTTGAACAAATATTTTCTCATGCTTAGCCACTTACAGAATCTTGGTAAGTCAGACTTTTCATTTCAAAGGCATAAGGATACCAAAGTGGTCCTGATACAGTTAAACTCCCCCCTCCCTCCATTCTATTTAAGCACTTCTATCACCAATATTTTTTTCTGAAAAGCATCTTCATACACATAGCGTGATGGGAATGTATTTAAGTGCTTTCAGCACTCCTGCAGACTAAGAGGCAGAACTCACCTAGAGTTTAACTACTTATATCACACAGATCCCTTTTTTTCCTCACTCTTTGTAAAGCTTAGTAGATAAACAAAACCTTCATTTTCTTACTCTTTTTAAAACTGGGCACAGATCTAAAACAGAGCTCTAAAACATCCTCTTTTCTTTTGCAGCAAGGGAGCCACACTGCCATCAACGAGTCACAAAATAATAAAACATTTAAGACTGTCTGGGCTTTCATTCTGAGGAGGTGACAGGGCTGAAGAGTAGCTCCAGCTTCCAGTGTGTAGGCATTCTGTGTACTGACTGCAACCACAACCACCCTGCCTCTGGTTAGCAAGGGAAGGAGAGAGTGCCAGCAAGGTCCAGAGCAGGGTTTGCTGGACTCACACGGGTAGTATCCAGTGCTCTCAGGAAAAACGTCCTGGCAAATATCATCTGGGTCATCAGCAGAAATACCAGCCATTGACTTCACCTTAACTTCCATTGTACAACTTGGCTACCACCAGTTGCTGAGATGGACTGGCAGAGATGAAGAGTCTCTTCCACTTGAGTACTCATTCCATTCATTATATCAAGGTGTAGATTATGCTGTGTTGTCTCTAGATCAGCCTCATGAAAATCAGCCATAGTTTGAAAGGGTGTTTTATATCTATACAATGAAATCTCTGAAAGACAACCTGGGTTAAAATGCATTATAAAAAGATAGTAGTTCCATTCATCCAGACAGCTCAGGGTCAGTTGGTGTTTGAGCAATTTTATTTAGGAATCAGTGAAAGAGCTCTGTTGCTCCAAGTCTGTTGTCAGTTTTAAGAAGTCTGTCTCTGTCTGCATCACTACTTCTTACATGGTTTTCTTACTCTACTCATGGATTTTTATTTTAGTCATTTGTATCTTAGGTCCTCCAGAAGCTGCCACAAGCACATTTTTATATCATTAGACTGTTTTGTCAGCCTGTAGCTGCCAGAAAGCTGGAAACAAGAGGGGTAGATTGGCAAAGGGGACAACCCACTCCTACCCATGCAGATGAAATGTTCTCCTCAGACTTTGTTGAAAAATCTATCCTGGACTAGAGAAAGCAGATGTTTATGTTTTAATCTGTCTATACCCCTAGCTCTAAAGAGGAATAGAAATGCACAGACAGTGCAATATCCCTTGCATATTGAAAATAAGTTGGTTGAAGCAAGAAGTCAGATGGACTTTAAGATGTTCTCTGTATTGACTCTTTTCCAAGTTGATTCAACCCTTATGAGTTCAACCTATCGTCTTCTCCTTTTTGCAAGTCTAACTGTTGGGTATACAGGTGTGTATCTACATGTATGTAGACTCCAACAGTGTTAAAAGACAAACCTCCAGATAGCTAGAACTACTAGTTCATGGGAATTTAAAATTAAATTAAATAGCTGGGCTGTTTTCCAGATGATTTCTAAAATTCCCATACTTACGCATAAAAATCTCTGTAGGATTTACATTACACTACTGTATTTGTTTCAGTGAGCATTTGACTGCCAAGAATACTGTCTATGACCATCATGGCAATCTAATTAAATATTTGACGAGCAGAAAGCTGGACATTATTCAAGTCAAGCATTAAATTAGAAAATTTAGTTTCTCTCCTTTATCAGTAGATTTTTAAATCAGCCTATTCTACCAAAACCCACAAGTTTAATGAATTTGGTCTGACATACTGTGTAACAGCTGTCTAACATACAGCCACTAGCATAAATCATAAAAATGATGCTTCACTTTGGCATGGCAAAATACATCAGAAAGGCTTAGAAAGGTCAGTCACCAGCAACCTCTTTGCTGGTCGTTGAGAAACAGCACTGTAAAATGCACGAGTTGCCATTTGTAGTCTCTTGCAGGAAGCCTGGGAGAGCCACAGATAATTTGCTTTCAATGATTCATCAAGTTGGCCCTTTGTTTCACTAATTTGAGTGTCAAATGCAATCTCCTAATAAAGAATTACCAAGACCTGATAAGATTCTTCTTATATTGCTGCGTTTGTCTTAACAACTGGTACTATTGAAACCAAACCCACAAACTGAATAAATAGCAAGCCTGTGTGCAGTATGGCATTCTTCTCTGGAATGATGAAGCGTGTTCACTGTGCTGTCCCCTGATGTTCTTGTTTCTTTTTCGTTTCTTAAAAGGCACTGAATGCTGCACACTGTGCCTGTGCTAGGGATGACATTTGTTTCACTGTTAGTCCTCCAGTGAATTAGTAAAAATAAAAAATGGATGTCAATGGCAATTCCAGCCTTGAGAAAGCTGCTATTGTGACCATGGTTGAGTTAGCCTCCTGATCGTTTTCTCCTTAATGTAATCTTTAATGTTACATAGTTATAGGTTAAATGAGAAGCCATCTATTAGAACCATTATTTCCATCAGTAGTTTCAAGAAAAATATCTTCATGATTAGGAGATAGATGATTTTTCTTTTTAATGCTATGCTGTCAGTTTAATAACTCCATAAGAAATCAACATTAAAATGGCTTGTTTTGAAGGGGCACATGCATAAATGTGGAATTCCCAAAGCAAGAAATCTGTGTAATTTGAGACCTGCTGATAAAGTTTTCAGAACCGAACTGTACACCATTAATACAAAGAAAGAAATAATAAAAAACTTTGGGAGGCTGCTTAGGGGTGGGAAAATGTCCGTCCTCAGAAACCAGAAAGATGGCATGGGGAGCAAGCCTGTGAGATTTACTGTTAAAAAACGAAGAGGTGTTCTGCCAAAAGGTTTTGAAACCGGTTTTTATGGCTTGGGGCAGGTTGTGTGACAGAGGGCGGTGTCAGCGCCGCACAAGGAGTTGAAGGCGTCGATTTTTTAATTTTTTTTTTTTTTTTTTTTTTTGACTAACGTGAATTTATAAAGAGTTGCTTGAACGCCGCCAGCCTCGGGAGACCCAGTTGGCGGCGAGAGAGCGACGAATTCTCTGGCAGGGAAAAATACAAAGAACATCATGTGAGGGTCGTGCCCCGGTGCTACCAGCAGGACAGAAGCCTGGGCCGAGGGAGGGAGCCCCTGCCCCGACCCTGCCCGCTCGCCCGGCGCCCACCGCGGGCCGGAGGGACGGTGCCGCGCGGTACCTGCCGCGGCCATTCCCGCTGCTCGCCAGCTCCCATCCCCGCCCGGGGCTCGCCGGCGGAGCGGGAGGCAGAAGTTAACTTCCACCGGCCCTGGAGCCGCCGCTGCGCCGGCAGGAGGAGGCGGAGGAGGGGGCGGAGGCAGGCGGGGCAGCCGAGGACCCGGCTCTGGCAGGCTCCGAGGGTCCGGCCGGGTGTAATTCCCCTGTAATCCCCACCACGGCGGCGCTTCCCTGGCCGAGCCATGTCTGCGGCTTCCCCGCCATGCCGAGCCTAGCGGGGAGCGGGAGGGCTGGGGAGCGGGAGGCGCACAAAATGAAGACCCTGATGGTAAGTGCATTGTTGGCACTGCTCATCCCGGCTCCGGCAGCGGGGAGGAGCGGCGCGGCGCGGGGCTGCCCCGGGCCCCCTGCACACGCTCCAGCCTCTTCTGGGCTGCAGCCCCGCGGCGCTCCGGGATCGCGCAAAGAACAGAACCACAGCGGCGGCGGCGGCGGCGAAGAACTTTCCGCTTGCTTTCTTTTATTCGTGTTGCTCGCTGTTTGGGGGTTTTGTGTGTGTGTGCGCGTTTTAAGGAGCGGATAGAAAACCGATATGCTTAAAGGACGAGGTTGGAGGTAGCCGCGCGGGGTGTGTGGGGGGAAAGCGCTATAATCCCTAACAGTCGTTAGAATGCGGGAATGAGATGCCCGACGGGAGACGGCTGCATGGGAATGAGAGGCGCGGGGGAGCTGGGCACACGAAGGGGCGAAGAAGCGAGGAAGCAGGGGTGGGGAGGGGGCAGGAGGAGGAACGAGGAGATTCCCCAGTTCTCTCCTCGCACTTTGCCGGATCTCCGGTGGCATGAAACTTGCGGGCGGCGGTGCGCGGGGTTGGGTCCGCGGCGGGGGGACCCCGCTGAGCTGCCTCTCTCTGCCCCCCGCAGCGCCACGGGCTGGCCGTCTGCTTGGCGCTTACCACCATGTGCACCAGCTTGTTGCTCATGTACGGCGGTATCGGCGGCGGCGGGGGTCGCCCGGAGCCGCGGCGGAGGCAGCAGCAGGTGGCGGCGGCGCCCAGTCGCCCGCCGGGACGCGGCCAGCACCATCCGGCGCTCCCCGTCGGGGCCGGCCTCCTCGAGGGCTACATCAGCGTCCTGGAGCATAAGGTGAGCCTCGGTCGTGGGGCTGCCCTTTCCTTCCAAGGGGGAACCTGCCCCATACCTGCAGAGCTCTCTTCCTTGCCCGCCGGCTATCCTCTCAGGGATCGCGTTGGCCTGGCTATCTTGCTGTCAGGGCTGGCTCCTACACGTGCCGTTGCCCCTGGCCCTGTGTGCGTGGATTAACAGGGTCAGGACCCGGTGGCCAGCCTGCTGTTAGGCCTATGTGCAGTGTTGGTCATCTCCTCCCTTGACCTGTAGAAGATGGAGGGTGAAGTGTTTTGTTTCTAGTGATGAATGCTAGAGGTACGCTACAAATGTATGTTTATGATGATGCTGGGAAGGGTTAAAGAAGGAAGTTTAGTTGCTGGAAGGAAAAGTCAGTAGGTAAGTGTTTATTCTTAGCTCATTTTGTCTTGGGAAACCAAGAGAACTGTATCTCCTGCACAAACGACCTTTTCATCCTCCCCCTGGGAAGCAGAAGTTGTCAGCCATAGTCTCTGTTCTAGAAATTGGGGGCATCTCTTTAATGGTGAACAGAATGATGTCCCTCCCCTTGACACAGGAATTAGAAGGCTGGATTGTCAGACCCTAATACCCGTTTACCAGAGATAGACAGCCTAAGCTTTGATATCTCACAGGACAGACGTAATGAGATAAAGTGAACAAGGTGGCACATCCATGCTGAAGAGATACTTGAGTTTCAGTAATTTTCTCAGAAGGCAGATTGCTCTAGTTCTTGTGCTGTGTTCAGTTTGCTGCGCTTACCTGGAAACTCCAAGGACCCCCTCTGCCAAAATCCCAGATAATATTTAGTACACACACTTCCTGCAGTAAAAATCTACTGTAAAAAACAAGCACAGAAAATGAGGATTCTCAACTTTATGTTTTCACATCCAGACTGACATCTTTCTGAAAAATATGTTTGTCAAACAAGTTACTGGGCTCAGTTTAGAGGCACTGTGTGAAGACTAGTGACTTTGATATACAGAGATTTTTATTGTTCCTTCTGGCTTCACTTTCTATGCAAGAGTTATCTGTAGGGCTCTTAACACAGAAAAATAGCTCATGATGGTCCCTTGTAGGCTTTATTTGTTTTCTTACATGATTCTTCTGGAAATCCTCAAGCGTCATGTCTGTGTAGAAAAAGCAAGTTTGGCCATGGGGCTTCCTACTGTGTTGAAGTGTTCCCTCATCATTCTTCTGTTCTTCTTGAACATGACTGTAGTGATGAGGTGTAGATATATATATGCACTTTTTCTTTTATCATTTTTTTTGTAAGTAGTAATAATTGAAAAGGCATCTATGGGAGTTTTTTAGGTTGTTTATGTGAATAGCCCCTCTGATACCATAACTCCTTATGTTGGTTTCTTCTGACTCCTGAACACCCCTCATTAATAGAACATATTTAAAATCATTATTCTGTGTTTTTTATTTTCCAGAGTAATTTTAGTGTTTCCCTGTGTTTTGGAGAAAGATAATACTCTTTTTTAATATATTATAATATGGCCCAAACCTCACAGATACTCCATTTCTGAATTTCATTTGATGTAGCTCATACCTCACAGTAATACTCTGCTGAAGGTTTAATAACTTTTCCACATAACTTCTGTGGGTCAGAAAGAAGATTGTGCAGTCCCTGCTGTGTTCCCAGCGTGCTTTTTATTTTAATGCACATGAGATCATGCAGAGAGCTGTGTCACTGTGGTCTACAGGGGAGTGAGGACACTGTATTACCATAAGGAGATGGAGAGAAGAGCTTTGACTTTTAATAGTGTATGTGTTTTAGTAATTTAACAGACCTGTATATTTAACATGGATTTATAATCCCGGAGTACATAGGTTTCCTGCAGAAATAAAAGTGGAGAATGCAAAATAATCACAGACATTAAGGGCTTGGAAAAGAAGGATACAGGATCGGTGATGATGAGAAGAGGGAGAGAGATTGCAAGAACTGAGAAATGGTGAAATATTTTCAGAGAACATGGGGTTTTTTTTTGGGTGGAACAATGGAGAATACAGAGAAGACAGCTTGAATAGCATACAGCATTAAAGTCCATCCCAAAGTGGGAGAAAATGAAGGAACTGGGGAGGTTTTAACGACTATTAGGAGAGTGGCAAGAAGAGAGCAAGATAAAATTCTGTAGCTGTGAGAAGGGGGTGATACTTGAAGGAACGGAGGCCTGGAGGGAGTTGAAGAGTACCTGTTGTATGAGGACAATGGGCTGGGAAGGGTAAGGGAGGAATGACTTCAGCAATGGTACATGTTCTTCTGATGGCACAGAGGTGTCAGAGTGAAATGACAACGGATGGTAGATTTTCACAATATAGCTTCCTTAATTTCCCACATAGAATCTTGGGATTATCTGTCAGGTTGAATGACCTGAAGCTGAATGACCATTATACTAAATTCATCCTTGGAATGTGTTCATGCATGAATGACAGTTATGGGAGGTTAATGCCTAGATCATTCAGATCTAGGAGCTGAAACAGGTTCTTGACTTCAGGAAGACTTTGTTCCTGGATCCCATAGTTAGCTTTAATGGGGAGATGTGTCATGTTTTTGGTGGCGTACCCATTCTGATGTATTTAATATGAGTAAGCATGCACATATATGTAAAAGCTATTTGATAAGTACTGATGTTATTATAAATCCATAATTAAAATATGAGTATTGACACACACAGGAACTGTCATAAGGTAGTATAAATATTTCAGGGATAGAATTTGACAGTTGTCTACATTGTGAGATACTATATATTACAAATGTCTGTCACTGTGAACAGTACAGCTCGTTTAGTAGTGCTGGGTGATCATATATGGAGACTGTTTGCCAGAAAATCAAGGCGCTTAGTAAAGTACCAATGATTTTGAAATAGATCTTGCAGTATTGTAATTACCAATAATTTTCCTCCTTTTATTTTATATTCAATAAGAATTGTAGTTTCTCAATCATCCTGTCAAGATAAGCAGGCAGTTTCTGAAAATACAGCCAAAATACATAATATTCTTTTTACTGTGTTGAATAGTCTTTTTGCTATAGTCTTTTTGCTGTAGTCTTTTGTCATTCGGTCAGATTTGTGCTGTTTTGTTTCTTAGTGCTTTGCTTTCGTGGTTTCTGCAAGCCCTGTTTTTCCCAAGTCAAGCAGCAGAGATCAGAACCCATGTTCTCAGCTTTAGCAGCCTTGTGCAGTTTAGCAGTGCAAACTTTGTTCTTGTTGAGCTGAACTCTTAAACCAAGAAAATTCAGACATTGATTCTTGGCATTTTGCCTCTGCATGTCCCAGAGCAACAGCAGTCGTTGGTGGTGGACGTTTGAAATGAATGAATAACATCTCTTTTTGTTCCCAATAGCCAGATGTTTATATCCTAAAAACTCCCACATCTGGAACAGAAAACATGGTTTGCTGATGGTTACTATTGAAAGGTTAAAGATTGAAATGGAGAAGCAGCAGCTATGCTTCTACTTTGAGGAGCTGTTGCTTCTCACAGCCACGTACTGGCAGAGTGTAGCACTGCTTAGTTATTGCAGCTGTTCAGCAGTTAGAAAGGACGGGAGTCCCAGGCTGTCAAACTAACATCTTTCGTGAGTTCTTTGACTGTAATCCTGAAATTAAAGAGGTTTTCTCACTGGCATCGTGGGAGGCAGAATTATGCTCTTCTGTGCAGAGGCATGGGGATAAGACTTTCTGTTGATTTATCATAGTGCTAGCAAGAAATTACAATGCTAATATTTTTAAAGCAATTACTGCATACAAATAAGAGAGTGTTAATGAAAGGAGGAAACCTAACACTCTTCCAGAACTTGCAAGAAATAAAATATTTAACTATTATATTACTATTCTGAAATGAATGTGAGAACATGTCTCTGGATAGTTAAAAAGCTTTCTACCCAGTATTGACTCAACAGTTGGTACTGCGAGTAAAATATGAATTTGTCACATATGTAATTGAATAATATTTCAAGCCATCAAGGATTTTGTTTCTTAGAAAAGAAAAAAAACATATCAAAATCAATCTTGCAGACAAAATCTATGATTTATTAGAACCACATTTAAATACCTTGAGAGCATTGAGATCAATGTGATAATTTACGTGATTGCAATGATTTCTTTATGCTAATGTAAATCATCATATGCAAAGAAATCTTTGTGATCCCTTTAAATTAGTGTAGATCAGAGAACAGTGTAGTTAATGAAGTGTTTGAGGAAGACTCATTCTGCAAATAGTGCTATAGCTTCTTAAGCTCTGAGACACAGTAAGTTGTTCTGGCATGAAACTTTTTTTTCCCAGGGTATTAAACTTTGTGCACTTAAAATAGCAGGTTGGATCTCACAATATTTTATATACTTTTTAATAAGTATTAGATATAAAGAGTTAGGAATTGGAATTTTTTACCTAAATAGTTCAAGCATTTACTGTTTTGGGCTTGGGCAGGTGGAGGGTGTCACTAAACCAACCTTCATAATGAACATATGTGGAGATGGGAAAGAATTAAATTTCTTTGAGGGTTGTAGTGTCTTTCAAATGAATTTATCACAAAATCATAAGGGATCTTATAAAAAAACAGCTTGTCTTGCCTGAGGTGGGATCAAGCCCACTGAGTTGTAAACCATGTACCATGATTTCATTGCATGTTTCTACTTGCCTCTGAAATTGTTACCTCTTATATTATGCAATTATTTGATGGAGCTTTTATTATGTGAGAGATCCGCCAGGGGGAGACTTTATTCTAGAATAACCTTGCTGGGGACACCTCTGTCTGCCCAAGATCCAGGCGCTGGGGGAGTCCTGGAGGCCCCTGGTTCACCCTTTGGTTGGCTTCCTGGCTTTTTTAAGATCTATTTTATTATTGTTTTGAGGTACTGTAGTTACCTTTTATGCTGATAAGCTGCAGGTTTATTAAACCCCTTCATAATGCTGTCAGCTTAAGAAAAGATTTAAAACCGTGAGAGTCAGAGAATGTAACTGAATATCCACAGACAGGGTAGGGACAGTTGTTTTACCAG